GTAAGACGGGTGCATATTACTGCATATTGAATAAATAAATAATTTTTGCCAAATAAATTGTATTATTTTATTAACTTAAGAATGGATTTTGATTACATATATACCGAAAATGTTTACTTCCTACGTGTACTTTTCTATATATTTGCATCTGCAAAAAAAAATTTATAAAGAAAAACAGAATTTATTAAATTATAATGTATACAAAAATTTTCTTTTCCGCGACTATTCGTGAGATATATTAAGACAATCCCGTTGCAGACTCCAGCAGTAGTCAGCCATATATGCCGTTCCAATCGACTTGGATACCTCTACTCCATGGTTTTAGGGTCCTGGTGAAACCGTTTCCCCTTGTTCTTAGCTATAGGATCCAAGGTTCTCGGGAAACTCATCCAGATGACTGTGGAGGTAGTGCATTTTGATGGACTTATTACATCCTAAGCTCTGAAAGCTCTGTTGAATGTATCGTTTTTTAGGTTTGCGATCACCGTTTATGTTTTACATTTGTAAATGCCAAATTTCCGGGTGCAACACATGAGTCTGAAATTTGGGCAACTTCTGACCTACGAGAATATCTAATTCGTCAGCATAATAATACGTCTAAGCAACAACGGAGAGAATCTTGGCTTTTTGGCGGTCAAGGTTATCCTCTAGAACCGTGGCTTTTAACACCAATGGAAACACACCGCTTTGTTTGTTGGTACTTGCGTTATATTGTATAATATAATGACGAAAGCAGGCATTACGTTGAACGAAAGAGATGACGGGGTTGCAGAACACTTTGATTCTCCAATTAATGATTATAACCCCAAATGATTAATGATTAGCTCCGTTAGAGAATTAGTTAGGCCTTGAATGACCTGCATCATTTCACGATGCTCCCGTCATCTCTCCTCTTCAGCGGCATTCATTTTCGGTATGTCAGCTATCAAAATGCTGAAGTTGAAGCATCCTTAAAAGAAAAAACGTAATAAGAAATCGGAAAAAAATTTGTATGTTTTGTAACTATATTATAATGAAAGCTTAGCTGGTTTCCACGCTAAGATATGTAGTTCCTGTCGATGGACTTACTGGATGGTGTTCGGGATTTGGGGTTGCTTCTACCTGGCGGCATAATTGCAGAGAACTACCTCTGGGTAATGAAATTGCGCATTCAACCGTTTGCTCAAGCTTCATCGATTGGGGAATCGGAGAAGTGTTTCCTCCATAATTTTAGTATGCTGTGGGCATCGGTCACTAGATCACCTTTGGGAATCTACAAGTCGACGTCGAACCTTTCTTGTACGACCTCGGAGCGTACGTACGTCTATAACACTGGAGTCGTGTCGATTAACCTCAACCCATTTGGAGATATTTCATCGTGGAGGCTGAATTTACCGACCGTAGTGCTAAAATACCTTCTTTGCCCATTCTGACGTTAAAGTCGCTAAGCATGATTTTGATATTGTGGCGAGGGCAGTTCTTACAGGTGCACTCAACGCGCTTATAGAAGGCATCTTTGGTTACATCGCCCTTCTCTTTCGTCTAGACGTGGCGCAAATCAGCGATATGTTAAAGAATTTCGCTTTGATGTGGGTTGTGGCTAGACCCTCATCCACTGGGGTGAATGTCAGTACTCGTCGACGGAGTCGCTCTCACACATGAATATTACACCAAATTTGCGTTCCTTTATATGGTCACTGTAGTAAATGCCACAAGAAACTAATCGCCTCAGTGCTTGTCCCGTCCATCGCATTTCTTGAACAGCGGTAATGTCTGCTTTTATTTTCGCGAGGACATCAACCAGATGGGCAGCGGCACCTTTCCAATTAAGGGACCGGACATTTAAGGCGTATGTGTCAAATTCGTTTCATTTGCTGTGGTCGTCCTCAAAAGTTGGGTTTGGCGGGTCCCAAACCCAGCGCACAAATCTGTGTAGGGGATGTTTCGCATTCTCACTTTAGCTCGCTTTGTGCTTAGGCTACCCGGAGGATACTTGGTCAAATAATGGATGCCGTGAGCTGCTTGAGCCAAATGTAAAAGAATCGTTTCTGGCCGCTCCCACGTGATTGGCGATAAGAGAACTTTCTTCACTAGCATCAACTTCTACACATGACTCCATCCTCCATACAAATACTTGTACATATGTAAGCTAATTTAACTATAATATTTTAAAGTAGTTAATTTCCAGCTATTAGTTTAAAGTAATTTAAATATGAAAATAATAATAAATGGATGCGGCTTAAGAATTTTTTTTTTTCGAAATTCGTAAATATCTAAAATGGATAATAATAATAAAATGTTTCTTGTATTTGATAAAGTATCTACATTAAATTAAAAAAATACTTTAACTATAATACTTTACTATATAAGTACCTAATTGTTACAAAAAGCTGAGGTCTACAATATTTAACATATGTTAACGCAGTTGATACGATTATGTTATATACAGTGGTCAAGATGGATTTCATTGTTAAAAAATTGTATGTAAAATCTTTTAGCATTTTTTGGTAACCAAACAAAGCCATGCAAGACGGGTATTTGTTAGCWAACGTGTAAGTGACTTGTAATGTATCGTGTTAAACACTGACCCAATGATACCTTGTCCTTCAACGTTTATTAAATGCGGTTGGAATAGCGTGTCAAAACCTTTAATACGCATCACGCTAACTGTAGTAAGGAAACATTTTATTCGTTATTAAAATTATTAAAATTCGTTAGATGAAAACAATTGGTGGCAAGCAGAATTGTTTCTAAGGCTACTCACTGTCCCATCTCGATGTCATAGGTGATATTGCAAAGTTTCTCTTTAATCATTCATAGTTTTTAAGGCAGGGGTTTACAAGCAACCAAGCAGGAGTAACTGTGAAATAGTAATTTCATAATTTTTTAAGTTTCTTTTACCTAACTTTATTATTATATTAATGTATGTATTAAGCGCCCCGCACCTTAACAGGACATCATTTTCTCTCGATTTTTCAGTAGTTTCGTGGGATGTTCTGTTAGGAGGTCCTGTAAATGTTCTATTATGCGACAGCAAGAATATAAATATTTAGTAAACGAAGCAATTAAAACAGCATTACAGTTTATAGAACGGATAACAAATTAATCGTGAACCGATGACCGATTAAACTCAATTTCTTGTACAGAAAACTTGTTTATCTAAAAAACTTAGCATGGATCAATAAAGAAAGTTTTAGTTAAAAAAATTCGTCTTGATTTCTATCTATAGGTATATTTAAAAAAAAATATTCGTAATTAAAATACTGAACAAATAAGGATTTCTTTGTCAAAACGAAAAAATAAGCCATAAAATTTCGTTTGTTCCTGCTTCTGTTATTAATTCCTCTTCTTGAAAAATTGTGTATCAGCTTTTCTCTTTGAACATATTAATAATTCGATTGGCTTGAATTTCATTATTTTTTCTCTTTCTCTTACTTGCACTTTCTCAAATTCAATTGAAGATTGCAGAAAATGTAACGGCGTTGGTGAATAGCTAGAAATGCTCCAATGTGTTTGTGCAATCTGCTACCTCCGTTCTGCAGGAATGATTAAGATATTACCTATAATAAGATAACCAAAGAAAATTTATAATTTAAATTGTTAACCTTTCCCAACCAAATTCCTAGCAAAATTCAATGATTAATTGTGTATATTAAACTGTATAGGACAAATTTGTTTATTAATGCGACATATTCTTATCGTCACCGTGCTGCGCTCCAGCTGGCACCCATCCAAATGAGATATGCAAATTGCTTCACCAACTTGCATAGGTGCTACCGCTTTCAATRCAACTATGTAGTTTGAATAAGAAAATGTGACTGCAACATTTAGTAAATACCTCTGGGCAATCTTGATTTGAAGTACATAAAAACACCTTCAGTGTTAAGAAATTCGCCGTAAATTTAATAAATACATATGTATACGTGCACAATAAAAATACGAAATATACGGGCATGTGTGCTGCAAATCGTTTTCGTATGAAACTGCCACCGAAACAATACGACAAATACGTGTTTGTGTGACACTTTCATGCGAAAACGATTTGCAGCACATGCCTGTATAGCTCTTTTCTGAGAAAATCTCACAACTGATTTGTGAGGTTTATTTTGTGAGGTTATTCTTGCTCAAACTTCACAGGAAAAAAAGCAAAGAAAACTCACCAAAGCAAATGAAAAGCACTTTGCTGTGAACCAGCTGTTTTTCAAAAAGAAACAAGACAAAATAAGGAAGTAGATAACCAAGAAAAGTTGGTAATTCTGCATATCTGTTAAATTTGGTACACATATATGTAATAATTTCGTTAATTTTAATGATTTTAAAATGAGAAGGAACAACTTAGAAGCAGCTGCAGCATTTTTCGTCTTTACTGGTCTGAATTCGGTATCTCCGCAGACCTGATACGGCTGTGTAAACTTACGCTGAGCAACACTAAAAGCTCCGCCAGGATCGAGATGGACTTTCTCTTTTCTCTCTTCTTTCTTCTCTTTAAACCTTTTAATTAAATAATGCTTCAGAATTTCTATTCATAAGTTAGTAAAAACTTACTTCAAGAAAAGTAAATAAGAATTGAAAAATGCACATTATGCATTATGCACAATTATTACACGCTTCCCTCATTAAATTTGCCTGCTTGATCATGTTAATAAATCTGTAATTATACATATTTTCTTCTGCTAAAAATCAAAACAATGCCTATATTTCGCGGGTGAGTTCCCTAGTCGCGAGGTAAATTCATCGGATGAAATTATACAAATGGTTGCTGTCGAACCACCTCCTTATAATACGTTATCTGCATTTGTGTCAAAAAGTATAAAATTTGATCAAATAAACTGACAGTTACAGCCTGACATGGTCTCTGTCCCGCGCACTTTTCATGCGCTACCTCTTTAAGTAAACATATTGGTTGTCAAATATCTCCCTTCCGCCTTTTTGTTTTTTGAATTTCGCGGCTAGGTATAAAGCGTATCTGGCAATATTATACATCTTTGGAAAGGTCTTGACATAACCTACAAAACGACGCTATGCATGGTTAGTTTGGATATTGCGTAAAACAGTTATAGAGTGTAAACACGGAGTTCACTAACGCCGAAATTCGCACTATTTTAAAGATTTCCTGCGACAAAGGTAAATCCGATAAAGAAAGGTTCAGTGAGATTAATGGTGTTGTGGGGGATGGTATGATAGATCACTACGAACTGCGCAGGAATGGTTTAGACGATTCAGAGAGGGTGAAAACGATACCATGGATAAGCTAGCCGACGTGGGTTTCCAGCTCTCAAGAAAAGCGAAAACTTTATGTAAAAAAACGCTTAAGAAATGATGAAGAAGTTTTCGGGTGTTAAATTTTCTTTTGGCAACATCCAGCTCTCAAGAAATTCAGTAAGTCTATTTACTACTTTTATTTTATAAATTGGGGATAGGCAACACTGGTTTTGCGAAGAAACATAACAGTTTCTATATATTTCTGACCATTGTAGAAACATACAAGTAACAAAAGAATCATATGGTCGTTCAGAGCTGAGATCACCTGATCGAAGTAGTTGATTTTTCGGCATAGAGATTCAAATAAAAGGACTTAAAAATGTTAAAGAAGTTGCAATATAGGAGCATTACTGATATTTTTTGGGTATTAGGTTCCCCGGAGGCCCATTTTCACCCATATATACAGTACTCAACAGAACGATTTGTAATAATTTAAACAAAAATAGATATATTCTTCAAATATTTCTAATAAAATAGAAAAGATTTTCAATTATTTTGGTACAATAAATAAAATTTTAGTCAAAACAAGGTAAATTTAATCTTCATGAATTTTAATAATCGAAATACAYTTGAAAATTTAATAAAAATGTACTTAAAATAATAAATTGGATAGCATTACACGGCAACACACTCGTGACTTTTCTAAGGCATTTGGCCTTTTAAGTAGAATATTTAGGTAACCCTAGCGAACTGCCTGGGCTTTTGCCCTGAGTCTTCCCTCATTATATTGCATTCCTAATGTAATTTCTGTAATTCTATAAGCTTTCGCCTGCGTATGTATGTGTGAAAATGATAGGATTTCTTACTTGTAGGTTTATACAATGTTTCTGACGCAAATTGGGTGGGAAGAAGAAGTAAGTTTTTGGTTTTATTTGCATTTTTTATGTTATTTTGTCTCATAATTGGAAATGGAAGACTTAATACCCGTAGCAAAGTGACAAAAGAGGATAAAAATTTCACAGCGGGTGAAAAACGACAACTAATTAAAGAAGTGGAAGAGTGGCCCCGGATATAGAACATAACAAACGTTAGCATTCGAATAAAAATACTGTGGAGAAGGCCTAGGTCAACAAAGGCAATTCGGTTGGCAAAACTGGTAAGTATATATAAATTAAAGTTTTATTATATGAATCTCTTAACTTGATTTTATTTTTTATGTTTATTTAGTTATTGAGTGCAAAGCTGGATATATTAGGTTAAGGGAGAGCTGTCGCTATTACGCCAAAGTGGCCCGCAAGCACAAAATGGATTGATTGGGAGCATTTTTGCCAAATATATCACACAAAAGAACGTAAGTCTATTAAATATTATTTTAAAATTTCATCAATTTTTGTTGCGCATTCGCACAACTTTCACAAGTCCAACATTTAAAGATTTTGATTCATCTTCACCCATAAATAGAGCGAATGCGGAGGTGTTAAGTGTTCCGCAATATGGTTATGTAAGTGTATATAATGAGCATGTATTTTGCAGTTGTATTTTTTGGTTTGTGTATTTTGCAGAATCCAACACCCACCACAAGTAGTCGGACGTTTAGCGGAAGCCAAAATGACGAGGCATGGAATCGATTCAACAACATTTTAAAGAAGCAAGAAGATTTGGTAGCAGCAAAGAACAACTCACCATATGCACAAGTCCTTGCTAGTTTTCACTGGTTGTTGAATAAGCTTCTACGATCAGTTGGTGACGATATGTGTATGGAATTTTACAGATAATGAACTTAAATAAAAAAATTTAAACAAATATCTTTTTATGCTCACTTAATTTCTGATTAGTTATAAAATAAATAAACACGAAATTTGGAAACAATAAACTTCTTTTTATAAAAAACATATATACATGGTAACAAAAAATAAATAGATAGTTATTGTTTTTATAAATAAACATAAATATTGAAAAATTAAAGAAATGTTGCATTATTTTGCCATGGAACAGATCCAGATGTAGAATTTACATAATCTTTTAAGATATTTCGTACATATTTTCCATAGGTACCTAAATAATTTAAAGGGCCTTTTTGTTGTTGTATAGTTTTCTTTTCTCCTGATTCCCAGAATCCGTCGATGCCCTCCAATCCAGAGAAGATAGGATGAGCATAAGCTTGTCCACATTTATTGATGAGGAAGTTATATAGCAGGCAGCATGCTGAAACARTCCATCGTGCCCGACCCGGATGACAAAATAATACCTTTATAAGGCAAACAAATTTTCTAAGGCCTGGTATAAATGAGACTCAATCCTTTTCTGCCGTTCATTAGCCTCTGCAGGAGCAGTGGTTAAACTTGCAAGATTGTTTGGTTATAAAAGTAAAATTATTGTAATAAAATCATATAGTTAACCATTTCAAAGAGCAAATTGCTTTCAAAGGCTTCTCTAGCGAAGGGCACTTGACATATCCATAGTTTTATCCACTGTTTTATCCTTAGGGGTATAGAAAAATCTCCACTTCGTCGCAGTATTTTTAACATTGTTATTATTGCATCCGAACACTGCGAAACGCTTTTAAAAAATATAAAATTTCACAATTTATACTACAATTCTAATTCTCATTCAAAGGCGCCGGCAAATAATAAGTCAACTGTGATGTCAGCAAGAGCAGCTGACTGAAAACAAACATGCGCATTGCGCATTGTAATCTCTTTCTCTATCATTCTTGGGAAAAGATATTTGAGTATGAGTAGTTGGTATACAAAAAAGCAAAGCGTTAACAGCGTAACAGAAAACATATTTGAGCAAGAGCAATTGGTAAGTTTCCCATTATGTATATTTAAATTTATTTAAAATTATCATGATTAATTATTATTATTTATTTTTCAGGTGCTAATTTTTAGTATCCATAATGGAAGACGAGGAGTAGATTTTATATAATATTTCACCAAATTATAGTGTCTATACAAATGTATTTCTTATATTATGGGTTAAATTTTATGATGTTGATGAACTGTAGCACATTCTTGACCATCATGGACTCTGGAGATAGCAAAATAAGACGCAGGAGACCCTGTCATTGGGTGGGTCCTTATCTCAAGGCAAAGAATGAGAACGGGAGGTTTCATACCGACTTCAAAAACTTACGGAATGACCAGCTCGTTTCATCGAAAATTTTCGTATGCCACCAAGTGTATTCGATGAGCTTTGGGAGATACTGGAACCACATCTGATTAAAAAGCGGAATACTAGCTCGAACGATTTCATCCCTACTAAAGCTAAGTTAGCAATTGTACTAAAGTAGGAAGCTTATTCAACAACCAGTCAAAACTAGCGAGGACTGGTGCATGTGATGAGTTGTTCTTTGTTGCTACCAAATCTTCTTGCTTCTTTAAAATGTTGTTGAATCGATTCCATGCCTCGTCATTTTGGCTTCCGCTAAACGTCCGACTACTTGTGGTGGGTGTTGGATTCTGCAAAATACACAAAC